GAAAAGTGTCGTAACATAACCAAGAAAATCAACATGTTGTTGTTTAAAATTAAATTTCAAAGATATATGTATAAATATTTACATAATACACTAGTGCAAAAAAAAAAAAAAAATTTACCTGCAACAATAAAATGCAACCCGTGACATATGAGTGTTTGTAGGATTGGACTGCCGTTGCGCCTGCATCAACCCTACGTAGAATTATTTCACACCAATTGTAGTCTTGTACTGCATTCAAATCATCCAAGTAGTCCAGAAATTCAAAATCTGTAGACAACTTATCCTTAGTTCGTGGAAACAACACTGTCGCAAACAGTAGCATCAAATAGGGTACGACAAATTCAGGTTCGGTTGTCTTGCAGTTGGAAACATATTCCTTTAGCTCATAATACCCCATGAGGTTTCCTTTTTCATCAGCAAACAAACTTGTGTGCTTCTTTTTACCCACATCAACATTCTTCGGAAATATCATACCATGCCTCGACAAACCAAAATATGACTCAACAACTTCTGGTGATAGCGGTATTGAAACACCACCAACGTTAATACTCCGAGATTTCTTGTCATAATTTTTAATAAGCATACTCACTAATTTAAAATCAATTTGGAACACAGTAAGACGAGGAAAAGTCCCAAATCCAATTTTTTCAAGTTCACGGCGCTGACTCGATTGCATGTTGTTATTGATTTTCACTATTGTCTTGAGTTTGGTCCGATGCAGCAGGTTCGCGTCATCCATAGAATATCTTGGTGAGCGAATTGATGTTCTCCTTCTTTTTGTATTAACCGGAGAATTCTACGAGATGTACACCAGTATAACATTCAATATTCAAATCAGAGACGACAAACAATATTATAACAAAACCAATGACTATTATGATTCATCGGATATTCAACATTTCGACTTTTTTACCTCTGCAGAACCAGACATTTTGTGGAAGTTATGCGCCTGCTGACCACGTTTGATAATGTTGATGCCAGTAATACAACGACGTGATGTCTTTAGATGGTAGTATATGGGAGGTTTACACAGGATAACTACGATATCCAAAAGTCGGTTGAGAATTATAGAAGATCCTTAATTGACTAAATATATGCAATATCTATCGCACTCATCCTTAATTGACTAAATATATGCAATAATTTTTGGACACCGTTTTCGTGTCCCAATAAATTAGGCCTTAGCGATAAATTACGAAATCATTATTTAGCAAATCCGATTTATTGGTATATTTAGTGTCCCAATAAATTAGGTAGTAGCGATATATAATGAAATCATAATCTACAAAATCTGAATTTAATGTTATACGTAGTCAAAATTCATTTTGACATTATTCATTGATGAGATACGTGGATATTATATAATTCTTACACGACAACAAATATGTGAAGTACTATAAAGATTTTGAATGTTTAATCTAAGTGTTAAATAATTTTTAAATCTCCATATTTATGTTATTTCAAAATATAGTTAAACAACCAATATTTTGAAAATATTCTTCCATTTCCACCATTCCGACCAAGTGGTGTTAATTGGTTGTGTAGCAAACATTATCTCCAATGCTCAACGTTGTAGTGGTAAATTACACTCCACGACAACACATTTATTAATATCACAATTTGCTATCTGGTTGGAATGATATTTGGTTGAACTATAAGAATCCGGTGGCCAAATTCAATAACAAGCAGATAGTTGGAGTCGGTACCAATGTTGTTGTGGGGCTTCGTTTCTTTTGTAGAAAGTGTTTTGATGTATTGTATACATTGGTAAACTATAAAAACGCACACGATTGAATTTGAATTTCTGTTTTGGACTTTTGATGTATTCCCAATAAGTTTTTTAGTATATTGACATAAAGAACTTTATGAATATATAAGTTCAATTAACATCATCAACATCAACATACCAAGTATATTCCCAACAGGTTGGGGTCTGGGGGGGTCAGTTGTACGCAGACCTTACCCTTGTAATTATACAAGGAGGCTGTTTCCACAGCGACAAGAGAATTGAGCACTAGAATTATTAGCACTAGAAACTTCACTAATAGAAGAAGCACTAGAATATAATTGAGCCATTTTGATCTAGTCAATTATTAGCACTATGACAGGATAATTGTCCACGATGACTATTCCAGCTCCATATGCAATGGATATGGTAAGCTCAATTAACAAAAAAAAAAAAAAAAATTGGTGTTGGTTTGCCTCGGTTATGACGAAGAAGGAAGTTTGACATGCGGCAGTAAAAATCATCTGAAAAACAAACGCATCAAACATTAAACTTGTAACACGAAAAACCGACCACTTTGGCTCAAACAAGAATCTCGTTTTTTTTTTCAAGAAACCCGTTTATTTCTCAAGAAACCAGTTTCTTGACCAACAAACTGAGGTTTTGTTCAACAAAATTATTTTTTGTTCAAGAAATAGTTAATTGGTCAAGAAACGGGTTTCTTGAGCAAAAAACGAGTTTCTTGTTCAAGAAACTCGTTAATTGGTCAAGAAACGGGTTTCTTGACCAATTAACGAGTTTCTTGAGATGGTTTCTTCATAAAAAAAATGGATTTCTTTTTCAAGAAATAGTTTATTTCTCAAAAAACTAGTTTCTTGAGATGGTTTCTTCATAAAAAACCGGATTTCTTGTTCAAGAAATAGTTTATTTCTCAAGAAACTAATTTCTTGAGCTAAAAACGGGTTTCTTGAGCAAAAAAGGGTTTCTTGTTCAAGAAACTCGTTTTTTTGTTCAACAAACTCGTTTTTTGATGAAGAAACCATTTTTTTCTCAATAAACTCGATTTTTGTTCAATAAACTCGTTTTTTGTTCAAGAAACCCGTTTATTTCTCAAGAAATTAATTTCTTGAGTAATAAACTCGTTTCTTGTTCAATAAATAATTTCCATACATATCCCTTCAAATGTCGTTCGCATTGTCGCCTCTTCAAAGCATTAGATTTTTTTTTTTTTATAAAAAATGTTAATTTTAACTTATATCCATTATTATATGTATTCATAATTTTAAATTAATATTTTATATAATTAATTTTAATGTAAATTAGTACACAC